CCCAGGAGTTGGAGGTTGCTGTGAGCGTGATGCCATGGCACTCTACCCAGGGGGATAGCTTGAGGCTCCGTCTCAAAAAAAAAAAAAAAAAGATATAGGTCATTCTCTGAAGTACATCAATCACCTGGGAAGGGAGATAAGGGAGCCTGAGGATGCCATGTGTGTGCTGCAGGGTCTCCTCTGGAGAGAAGGTGCAGGCATGGGACTTAGCTCTCTTGGAGCTGGTGAAAGCTGAGCACCGATGTCAATGGGGAGGGTGTGCTTTTCAAGCCCAGCTTGCCTGGCCAGGCTGGTAGCCTTCTCTCAATGGGGTAGATGCTGGAACTCTGTATACTTTTTTCTTTTTAGCCATGTTAATGGTATGCAATGGCATCTTGACTCTAATTTATTTTTTCTAATAATTACATTGATCATCCTTTCTTCATTAAGTTGGGTTTTTTTTTCTAATTTTTTTGGCCGGGGCTGGGTTTGAACCCGCCACCTCTGGCATATGGGGCCGGCAACCTACTCCTTTGAGCCACAGGCACCACCCTAGAAGCTGGAACTCTGATGCCAGGAGTAGGCACAGAGGCAGAGCTGGGAAATTCCCTGGGCAAAGTTCTATCTGCCAACCTGTTGTCAGGTTGTCAGGAGGGGCAGCCTGGTGGATTTTTAAAATTCAGTTATAATTCACATACTTTAAACTTCGCTCTTTCAAAGTGCATTTAGCATTTTGTAGTATATTCACAGACCTGTGCAACCATCATCACTATCTAATTCCAGACCTTTTCATCTCAAAAGCAACCCCATCCCTATTAGTTATCACCCCAATCCTCCCTGCCCCAGCCCCTGGCAACCACTAATGTACTTTTCATCTCTATGGATTTGCCTATTTCAGACATTTCTATCAGTAGAATCATATAACATGTGGCCTGTCGTGTCTGGCTTCTTTCGCTTAGCATAATGGGCGGCTCGGGGGGTTGTTGTTTTCCCAACATCTTGTTTGCTATCCTGGGCTTAATGTTCTCAAAGTCCGTCCATTTGTGGCATGTGTCAGTTCTCTATTCCTTTTTAAGAATGAAAAGATTTCATGGGATGACTATGCCATACTTTGTTTATTCATTCATCAGTTTATGGAAATATGATTCATTTCCACATTTTCGCTATCGTGAATAATGCTGCTATGAACATTCATGCACAAATTTTCATGTGGATATATGTTTTCATCTCTCAGGTATGTCCCTAGGAGAGATAGTGCTGGAGGTCAGATGGTAACTGAATGTTTTAGCCTTCGGAGGAGCTACAGGACAGTTTTCCGAAGTGGCTGCATCACTTTACGTTCCCGCCAGCAGTTTATGAGGGTTCTAATTTCTCTATATCCTTGGCAACCCTTGTTAGAAGCTGTCTTTTTGATTATAGCCTCATCGGTGGGTGTGAAGTTGTATCTCATTGTGGTTTTGATTTTCATTTCTCTAATGACTAATGATGTTGGTCAGATCCCATGCTTATATCCTCTTTGGGGAAAGTATATTCAAATCATCTGATCAAATCCTTTTGATTGTCCAGTTATAAGAGTTCTTTCTGTATTCTGGGTATCAGCTTGACTTTTTTTTTTTTTTATTCCTGAGCCCTGGGAGAACTATATTTGAAACAATCCCAATCTCACGGCATGGAAAAGACTACCACTGGTACATGGGGACACCTAAGAGCAGAGAGGCTTTTTTTTTTTTTTTTTGAGGCAGAGTCTCATTCTGTTGACCTGGCTAGAGCACCATTGTGCTAGCCTAGCTCACAGCAACCTCAAACTCCTGGGCTCAAGCTATCTTCCTGCCTCTGCCTTCCCAGTAGGTGGGACTACAGGCACCTACCACAACAGGGGAGTAATTTTTCTATTTTTAGTAGAGATGAGGTCTTGCTCTTATTCAGATTGGTCTTGAACTCCTGAGATCAGTCTTCCTGCATTGGCCTCCCAGAGTGCTAAGATTATAGGCATGAGCCATCATGCCTGGCCCAGAGAGTCTTTTTCTTGGTGCCACAGCAAAGGAAAGCATTTTGCTGTTGTGTTTACCACTAGTCCACAGGAGTAGAAACAACTGTGCCTTCCAGGAGCCCTAGACAGCCCAGTACTTGCTATATTTGATTGATCTTTCACAAGGCACCAGGCACCATCCTCATGGATTTTCATGTTATCTCATTTCCTCCCTGCAGCAACCCCACTGTAAAGATGAGAAAACTAAAGTTTATTACTCAATGACTTTAATTCTTAATGGGTTACTTAAGTCATGAGGTAACTTCCACAAAGTCACATAGCTACTAAGCTTTAGATCTTCAATTCTAACCTGGTCTTCCAACTCTAAAATACATGCTCCTAAATATCCAGGTATAATGCCTCCCAAGAATTCAAACTTCCTCTTCCAGTTCTCAAGTTCATTTCCACAAATATCTGGGCAAAAGAAGGGAGAAAGCAGCTTGAGACTGGATCAAGGAGGGATGAGAGGAGAAGGGACTTTGTCTCTGGTCTCATGGTCACTCTGGGTTGCTCTTCTCTCCTCCCAGTTTGCCCAGTATGCTGAGATTGTCAACTTCACCCTCCCTGACGGGACTCAGAGGAGTGGACAAGTGCTTGAGGTGGCTGGCACCAAGGCAATTGTTCAGGTGAGTGATGTCAATAAGATGTTGGCTGGTTAAATAAATAAAGGAACCCAGAAAGTTCTCATTCTATCTTACAAGCTCTGAAAGCAGAAAACATTCTATACATGTACATATCTCTGAGAGCAGAAAGCATGACCAGAATGGGTAGCCCCATTTGTTCCAGCAAGTCCCTTATTAGGGTAACTATCTCTTATCTCCACAGGTGTTTGAAGGGACATCTGGGATTGATGCCCAGAAGACCACTTGTGAATTCACAGGGGACATCCTACGGACTCCAGTGTCAGAGGATATGCTGGGTGAGGGCTCGGATGGGGTGGGGTAGGGGTGCTCCTCTGCCCTCCCAGCCCAGCTTCTCTGACCTGGCCCTCAGCACACTGCATTGTCATTCATTGCCTATCTCCCTGGTGAACATTTTGATGCCAGGGGTGTGCTTTCTCTCTTTGATTCCTGACCCCAGCTCAGTTTCTAACATACAGGTGTCAATAAATGAGGAAGGAGGCTCAAAAGCATAGCTTCAGGCTAGAAGCATAGCAAGTAGCCACCCACTGGGGGTCAGGCTTAAAGGGACTACTAAGCTATGAACATCCCTTAATTCTCTCTCAAGATCTGCCATATCTGGCCAGGGCCTCCCCCTCTTTCCAGTCCTGGAATCCCCAATTAGAGTCATTGTCATAGGCCAAGGCCTTGCCTATAAAGACAAGTTTCCAGGAGAGGAGGGAAGACCCTCTGTGGGGACAGTTACTATGGCCAGCTCTCTGGGGTACCTGAGGGCTGAAGGAGAGAGAACAGAGTGCAATGGAAATTTGGGGGTAGGTGGAGGCTGGTGGTATTGTGGAGGGTAGCGGAGAGGGACCCAGGGCTGGTCCTGAGCACCCTCCAACACTCCTCGCCCACCCTCAGGTCGGGTTTTCAATGGCTCTGGAAAACCCATTGATAAGGGGCCAGCGGTCATGGCAGAGGACTTTCTGGATATCAATGGTGAGTGACTGGAGGCTCTGGATGGCTTTAGGACCCAGCCTCAATGCCTTCCCCACCCCCCTCTGCCACTCTGCCCTTAAAAGCTCTGTCCAGACACAAGCCAAGGCAATTTCCCAGGCTCACCCAGGGCAGGTCAGACACATGCACAGATCAGGTGTGACATGAAAACAGCAAAGGCCTCTGTCCAGACATATGCCACTGAACCCAGACACTGCCACTAGCACTTTCTGTCCAGCCTATGCCATCATCATTGGACAGTGTTCCACACATTCCCCAAGGCCATTACTCCCCTGCCTTTGGTTCCTGTTCTGAGAGGGGGTTGGGTGGTTGGCAGGTTTCTGTGCATCCAGCAGGCAGCCTGCCTGAGTTCCCCAAGCCTATCCTGTCAGTTTATTGAGGACATGATGGAGGCCCATGGCTTGCCGGCAGCCACATAGCAAGTCAATGGCAGAGCTCAGAACATACATCTGCTCAGACAAGAGGTCTCTGAGTCACCCTCATGTCCTCTGAACCCCGCACAAGGTGGTGAGAGGGCTCTGCCTCTGCCTTCCAGAGCAGTAGGCAGTGCTATCCAGGGTAGCACTAGATCTATGGCTATTTGAACCCCTGAGCATGTCTTCATGGTTGCCCCCTCACAGGCCAGCCCATCAACCCCCACACCCGCATCTACCCCGAGGAGATGATTCAGACTGGCATTTCTCCCATCGATGTCATGAACAGCATTGCCCGCGGTCAAAAGATCCCCATCTTCTCGGCAGCTGGGCTCCCCCACAATGAGGTAGGGCCTGCAGGGCCAGCAGGCACAACCCTGGGGAAGGGCCAGCACAGGCCAGGGCTGTGAGGCCAGTGAGGAGGTTCTTATGCCCAGCAGACAGGGGCTGGCCAAGCTGGGGTCACTCAGGGACTCGGAGCTGTACAAAATCTCTGTCTTCAAGCTGCCCCAAGGTTGAGCCCAAGGGTAGCTGGCAGCATTCCAAGTCCTGCTCACAGCCTCCACCCAAGGGTCCTTGTACCAGGCCCCTCCTCACAAGCACCCACTCCACCCTCACCTCCAAGGGTGAACAGCCCAGGTCCTGTCAGAGCAGCTGGTGTGGTAAGGTTTCCAGATGCTTCTCCACAGCCACCCAGTACCCTGATCACTCAAAATGATCTGAGTGACCAGAGGGCATAAGTGCCACCCTACCCCACATCCTGGTTCTGAACATGGTATTTGTAGGCCCAGGACAACTCTGTGCCCACATAACCCCATGGATGCTCCGAGGGGGTTCCCAAAGGCCTGATCACCCTAAGCCAAGTTGTCTAAACCTGTGCTGAGGCAGTTGACCTTTGGGACTATCCTTCTGCCCTGCTCCTCATGTCAGGCACTTACACCCCATTAGTAGCCACAAAACAGCCCCTCCCCCACCCAGTCCCTGCCCCAAGAAAGACTATAAGACTAAAACCTCAGGCAGCCCCTTCACCTCTCTGGGCTTGGATCCCCTTCCCCCACCAAAGGCCTCGGCAGGAGGATGCACCAGAAATGGCTGTGTCCATCCTCCTCAGTGGCACTTGGTGTGGGCTCTGGGCTCTGGTTCTGACATCCTCCCTCCCAACCCCCTCTACCCAGATTGCTGCTCAGATCTGTCGACAGGCGGGGCTGGTGAAAAAATCCAAGGCTGTGCTGGATTATCATGATGACAACTTTGCTATTGTCTTTGCAGCCATGGGGGTAAGAGAGGCTGGGGAGGTTGCCAAGTTCCAGAAGCTGTGAGCAGGCTGCCTGTCTCCCTTGGCCCCTGGCAAGGACAGCTCTGATGAGGCAGGCACAATCCTCCCTGAGAAGCCATCAGATTGAGAGGCCAGTCTGAAGTGGGAGAGTGGGCTCAGTGACCTGGGCAGTGTGTCCCTCAGGACATTCCATGACAGCTGTAAGATAGGCCCAGGGTGGCCTGGAGAAGGGGGAAGCCAGGGAATTTGGGGATACAGAATAGCTTCAGGAAGGGGATTCTAGGGGGCTGTCAGAGGGCCTAAGGGGAGAACAAGGAGGTCGGCAGGACAGCAGCTGGCCGAGAGGGGTGAACCTCTTGTGGGGGTAGGGTCTAATGAGGCACCATCAAGACTGAGGCAGCAAACCCAGCCCCTGCCCTTTCAAGCACAAGGGTCATCCAGTGACATGGCACCTTCACCCCCAGACACTGGTAGCTAGTTGGTGCATAGGCTTTCAGGAGGGGAGCTGGGAGGGGCCAGCCCATGTCCTCTGGCCACAGGATCCCACCTCCAGCCCTTCCTGCTGTTTGTCCAGGTGAACATGGAGACAGCCAGGTTCTTTAAGTCTGATTTTGAGCAGAACGGAACCATGGGGAATGTCTGCCTCTTCCTGAATTTGGCCAACGACCCCACGTGAGCTCTCCCCTAATGCCCAGACTGCCCTCAGGTAGGGCAGACCCCCTTCCAAAACCTATAGTACCAGGGTTCAGGGGCATCCCAGAATGACAGCCATGGGCTGAGCTGGGAGAAAGGCCTCTTAGTGTGCAGGTGGGGAAACTAAGGTCTGGGAAGGGCCCACAGAGAGACATGGGAGCCAGGCCATGACCTACAGCCCGCTGCTTTTCCTACAACCTCGTCCAATCACCATTTCAAACCAGGGCTTCTCATCTCTGTGTCACTTCCACAAAGTCACGCCTGAAGAGATCATACCCCTGAACATAAGTCTAGAAAGACTGCTATTTTGGCTCAGTGCCTGTAGCTCAGCAGCTAGGGCGCTGGCCACATAGACTGAAGCTGGCGGGTTAAACCCAGCCCAGGGCCTGCCAAACAACGACAACTGCAACAAAAAAATAGCCGGGCATTGTGGCAGGTGCCTGTAGTCCCAGCTACTTGGGAAGCTGAGGCAAGAGAATCTATTAAGCCCAAGAGTTTGAGGTTGATGTGAGCTGTGATACCCTGGCACTCTACTGAGGGTAACATGGTAAGACTCTGTCTCAAAAAACAAAACAAAACCAAAAAACTGCTATTTAAAAAATTTAGAAAAATGAGAATTTAAATCTGGATGTCAGGTGGATGAAAATAATTCTAATAAAGTCAGCTGAGTATTGAGGGGACTCTAAAAACTAAGTGACAGGATTCTGGAGGCCTCCATGACATTATCAAGGGGAAGAACCCTAGGCCCAGAGCTTAGGGCTAAGAATGCCTGAAGCCAGAGCCAGAGTTTTCAGGAGTGCTCTGAGCATGAGGGACCTAAGGGCAGGCACTGGTGGGGAGTGTACCAGAAAAGTGAGAGGGACAGTGAGTGACAACACCACATGGAGGACACAAAATGAGTGCTCCAGCTGACACAAGCCTCCATCCATGGGGAGAAGGCTGCTCTTGACACTCCTGGCCCTGCCTGGCCCTCTCCCACCAACTCCCCTCTTAGCCTCAGCCTCTGTCCTTTCCTACTTTGGACAATAGGAGAGGAGGGTGACTGGAAAGTGGCCAATCCCAGGAACCATGCCCTGCCCTAGCCTGGGAGGTAGGGCAGAGGCTCATCTCATCCTTCGCTCTACCACTTTGCACAACACCAGCTTTCCAGTTCACCTTGCACTCAGGGCTACCTGGAGCATAGATTTTTCTGAACACCTGGCCTCACCTCCAGGATTGAGCGGATCATCACTCCACGCCTGGCACTGACCACTGCTGAGTTCCTCGCCTACCAGTGTGAGAAGCACGTGCTGGTCATACTGACTGACATGAGTTCCTACGCAGAAGCCTTGCGGGAGGTGAGCTGGCTGCCCAGGGTGTCAGATTCTCCCTATCCCTCCTAGGCCCAATACCCCCAGCAGGTCACACTATAAATACACACTTCCTGCCCCACCCAAATGAGCTCCAGGGCTCAGTCAGAGCCTGGCCATTCCTCTCCTGTTCCCACTCTGTTTCTCACAGGTGGCTGAGCCTCCTACCCACCCTTCCTTATTTCAGCTTCTTGCCCCCATTCTTACCCCAATGCCATGGATATTGCAGGTCTCAGCTGCCAGAGAGGAGGTGCCTGGGCGCCGAGGCTTCCCTGGATACATGTACACAGACCTGGCCACCATTTACGAGCGGGCAGGCCGAGTGGAGGGCCGGGGCGGGTCCATCACGCAGATCCCCATCCTCACCATGCCCAATGACGGTAGCCTCCCACTGCCCTGCAAAGGTCCCTGTCCCCCCTTTCCCACCCAGACACTTAGAGATGTGCTGCTTGGCACAAACATGCAGCAGCACTGTTCCTCCATCAGAGTAGACACTATCCCTTCCTCCCTACGTCCTGCACCCTTATTATTCCCAGGAGAGAAACAGAACCCAGGTGGCCCTAAGTGGGTGGATACCAGGGCCCCATTCACACTGAGGCCAGTGTGTTTTCTTATAGATATCACCCACCCCATCCCAGACCTGACGGGGTTCATCACAGAGGGACAGATCTACGTGGACAGACAGCTTCATAACAGACAGGTACTCCTCCTTTCCTACCTACTTCCTGCTCTCTCCTCCTAAAATACTGACAAACAGTTGTCCCCCACCCTCTGAATTAGGAGGCACCAGCCACAGCTAACCCTGAACGGGAGATAACACTGGGAAGACTGTGTGGTTCATAGATGGAAGACAGGCCTGGGCAGAATCCAGCTTACCTGTCCTGGGACCTTGAGAAAAATAAGTTCATCTCTCTGATCTTAGGTTTCCGTATCTACAAAGTCGTATCAAATGGGATTAAGAAAATAAATCACACTGATAGATTGGGGAGGTTAAAAATAAATTGTCATACACAAAACACCTGATGGGTAGTAATAAATACCATTTTTCTTCCCTTTCCAGTTACTTGCTTTGGTGGGCAGAAAACAATGGTTCTGTCCCATTGGTAGGTTAAAGGCTACCCCTATGACTTTTGTATCTTTGCTCAACAGATTCTTTCTTTGCTGCTATTAAGTATTAAGCTTCAAGAGGGTTTTTGCCCAAATAATCAAAAGTTTTGAAATAGTGAGCTTTTCATTGCTAATTTCATGTCATCACCCCCCTCTACTGCCTTGTCTAGAGCCACACACATGTACACCTGCAGACCCAAGCCCTGGAATTGATGGCGGATAAGGGAGGGTGGATGTGGCTGCTGACCTCTCTGTAGGATGAATGAGGAGTCTCCTGAGAACCACAGAAGGAGGGGTGACAAGAAGGGGCGGGAAGGAAAGCTTGGGCTCTGCAGTTTGCCACTCCCTTCTCCTGCTCCCCCAGGTCTATCCCCCCATCAACGTGCTCCCTTCCCTGTCGAGGCTGATGAAGTCTGCCATTGGGGAGGGCATGACAAGAAAGGACCATGGCGATGTCTCCAACCAGCTGGTAAGGAGGAGAGGGCCTAGGGACAGGTGGGTCATTTAGCTTCAAAGCTGGAGGTTTCAGCCCCATCTGGACAATGAGCTTTTCTTCTGGCAAAAGGGGTCCCCAAGCACAACCAGGTTGGGGGCCATCCGGCTCTAGTGGTAAGCCCGCTGCAGCCGCCTGCCTCCTCTTCCCTCCCTCCAGTACGCCTGCTACGCCATCGGCAAGGACGTGCAGGCCATGAAGGCAGTGGTGGGAGAGGAGGCGCTCACCTCTGAGGACCTCCTTTACCTGGAATTCCTGCAGAAGTTCGAGAAGAACTTCATCAACCAGGGTAAGGCGCGTAGCTGGCTTTAAGGTCCTAACCTCTTCACCCTCCTCCTGCCCCCACATTTCTAAGCCCCCTGCTCTGTCCCTAGGCCCCTATGAGAACCGCTCCGTGTTCGAGTCTCTGGACCTGGGCTGGAAGCTGCTGCGCATCTTCCCCAAGGAGATGCTGAAGCGCATTCCGCAGAGCGTGATCGACGAGTTTTACTCCCGCGAGGGGGCGCCACAGGACTCCGTGCCCGACACCGCACTCTAGCCTCGCTCGCACCCGGCGTCGCCCTGGGTACCCTGCTCCCCCGCACGCGGGTGTTCCCCGCGCTTCTCCCGGTCTGCGGTCGCCCTGAACACCCACCCTCGGCCCTCCGCTGCCAGTGGGGGGTTCCCGCGCTCCATCTCTTACGCTCAACTCCCAGCATTAGGAAAGAGAAGATTGTTAAACCCTCCTCCTATGCCTTGCTCTCACAGGAGCATCTGTAGTTTTATTTTGAAAGAAGTAGCCAAGATGGATTTATCTTAAGTGAAAACAAGATTGGCAAAAAATTGTAATTGTTGAAGCTGGGGCTGGTGGGCACATGGAGTTCATTTAACTATTCTCTCTACCAAAAAAAAAAGCTATATTAATTTTTTTGTTTTTGCAGTTGTCATTTCTGTTTTAGCTGGCCAGGGCTGAGTTTGAACTTGCCACCCGCGGTATGTGGGGCCAGTGCCCTACCCACTGAGCCACAGGCACCTCTCTACATTTATATCTTAACAGCTGACAATAGAATTCCTTACTGGGACAAATTTATCTTCGTGTCTGGACTCTATACAGCTCTGCCTGAGCAGTGCTGGGGAGGAATTTGGTTTGCTTCTGGCAGGAAGGGAGGAGAGTTACTAGGGAGGTTCCCTGAGGAACACAGGTGTGCTGCAGAAAGATGAAGAAAGGCCCCAGGTAAGAAATAAGTGGAAAGTAGGCCAGTGCCTGTGGCTCAGTGGGTAGGACAACGGCCCCATAAACCGAGGGTGGCCGGTTCCAACCCTACTCTGGCCAAAGTTCAACAAAAAAATAGCCCAGCGTTGGGCCCGGCGCCTATAGTCCCACCTGCTCTGGAGGCTGAGGCTGGAGAATCGCTTAAGCCCAGGAGTTGGAGGTTGCTGTGAGCAGTGATGCCAAGCACTCTACAGAGGGTGACATAATGAGACTCTGTCCCCCCCCAAAAGAAATGGGTTGAAGGCATCCTAAAAATTAGGGTGCCTGATGCTGCATTGACAGCCGCCAACTCATCTGTAATATCACACCTTCTTCTGTCTCCTGTGAAATCATGAGCTCTTCATAGCAAGAGGAGGCAGGAAGGGTTGGGAGGATGGAACTTTAGGCAAGAGCTTAGTTTCATTTCTAGGTCAATGTGTTGCAGAACCAGGTCAGGATTCTTAGACCAATAGCTAGTACCAAATGAGGCCCCAAGAATAAAATTCCCATCCCCAAGATAATTTACAACCATCTTGGAGAAAGCTTTGGGTACCCACATAGCATAGAGTCATTTTATTTAATCATCACCACCATTTTTGAGATATAATTCAGATACCATATAATTTACTTGTTTATAATATACTTGTTTATATAATTGTATAATTTGACAATTTTTAGTATGTTCACAGAGTTGTACATCTACAACCACAATTTAAGGATATTTTCATTACCTTATAAAGAAATTCTGGGTGGCACCCATGGCTTAGTGGGTAGGGTGCCAGCCCCATATACCGAGTGTGGAGGGTTTGAACCCGGCCCTGGCCAAATTGCAACAAAAAAATAGCCAGGCGTTGTGGCAGGCGCCTGTAGTCCCAGCTACTTGGGAGGCTGAAGCAAGAGAATCGCCTAAGCCCAAGAGCTGGAGGTTGCTGTGAGCTGTGATGCTACAGCACTCTACCGAGCGTGATAAAATGAGACTCTGACTCTTAAAAAAAAAGAAAAGAAAAGAAATTCTGCATACCTAGCTATCACCTCTCAACACACTTCTCCTCATTCATTCCCTCCCCAAGCCTAGATAACTACTAATTTAATTTCTATCTCTGTGGCTTTGCCTATTTTAGATATTTGGTATAAGTGGAATTATACAATATGTGTTCTTTGTGACTGTCTTCTTTCACTTAGCAAAATGTTTTCGAGGTTCATCCGTGTGGTAGCATGTATCAATGCTTCATTTTTTTTTTATTGACAAATAATGTTCTACAGTATGGATATACCATTTTTTGTTTATTCATCAGTTTATAGACATGTGAGTTATTTTCACTTTTTTGCTATCATGAATAATGCTGCTTGAACATTCAGGTGCAAGTTTTTATGTGGACATATGTTTTCATTTCTCAAGCATATTCCCAGGAGTGAAATTGCTGGGGATCAGATGGTAACTCTGTTTAACATTTTGAAGAACTACCAGACTGCTTTCTAAAGTGGCTGCACCATTTTACACTCTACACACTGCAGTATATGATTGTTCTAATTTCTCCACATCCTTGGCAACCTTTGTTAGTATGTCTTTTTAAAAATCTTTTTGATTATAGCCATATTAGTGGATATGAAGAGATATCGCATTGTGGTTTTGATTTTCATTTTCCTAATGACTTAATGATGTTAAGCATATTTTCCTGTGTTTATTAAGCATTTATATATCTTTGAAGAAACACCTATTCAAATCCAAATCCTTTTTTTTTTTTTGCATTTTTTGGCCAGGGCTGAGTTTGAACCACCACCTCCAGCATATGGAGCCAGCACCCTAATCCACTGAGCCACAGGCGCTGCCCCAAATCCTTTTTTAAAATTAAGGTTGTCACTATATTATTGAGTTGTTAAATTCCAATGCTAGCCCATTTATTTTTCCCTTTGTTTCTTTTTCTTTTCTTTTCTTTTCCTTCCTTCCTTCCTCCCTTCCTTATTTCCTTCCTTCCTTTCTTTTTTTGAGACAGAGCCTCAAGCTGTCACCCTAGGTAGAGTGCTCTGGCATCACAGCTCACAGCAACCTCCAACTCCTGGGCTTAAGCGATTCTCCTGCCTCTGTCTCCCAAGTACCTGGGACTACAGACACCCACCACAATGTCTGGCTATTTTTGTTGTTGTTGTTGTTGTAGTTGTCATTGTGTTTGGCAGGCCCT